AGTGCCGCGCCCGCCGAGCTTGAACAGCTTAATCTGTTACAAAGCTTGCAGGCGGCTAAAAACAGCCAGGGTATTCTCACTATATCGCGACGAGCTGGTGAAAGCGATGTGCGAGGGACTCCCATGGCCACGATAACGCCCACCGTGACGCCGTCCAAGACGAAGAGGAGCCGGAAAAGTAAGCATCCGCAACAACAGGAACAACCGAACGCGACAGTCGCGGTGACGACCGTAGCGACGACCTCCGTCGTCGCAGCGGCCGCCGATGTAATGCCTGCTTTCCCGCAGTACGCGACCGCATCTGCCGCGACCGCGGCCGATTCTATCAGCGCCTTGAAGACAGCCGCGGTGGCGGTACCGCCGCCCGCAGGTAGTGCCTTCAACTTCGCCGCCTCCGCCAGCGGTGCGACCACCGGCCACGCGCCGCCATTCCCTTACGACAAGGACGCTACCGCGGCGGCTGCGTTTGCCTTCCTAACGGATGAGTTTCGTAATCCGAGCAGTTATTACAACATAGCTCTGCGACAGCAGCAACAACAGCAGCAGCAACCGCAGTCGCCTATGGTACCGCCGACAGTGACCAACGCCTCAGGTCAACCGACTGCCTGCAACAAACTCAGTAATCAACCACCACCGAGAAACTATCCGTCATTCCTCCACTCGGCTGCCGCCGCAGCTGGCGCTCAGAGATCAGCAGCAGCGGCGGCATATGTCCCGCCGGTCTCCGCCTACGTGACGCCGCATGGACCCAATCTGACGGTCGACCAGGCCGCCTATCAACAATATATTCATTCGCTCTATGCCCTCCAGCCACCGCCACATCATCACCGACCATCCTGGCTTTAGCCACTAAGATCACTGCAAAATCAGTCCGTGATTCGATGATGACACATTAATCTTCTAATGGATTTTGAAACGTACCGCGACGAAAGAAGAGCGTTCGTTTGAGATCCAAAGGGATACCAAATATTAATCGAAAGTCTCTTGGCGAGCGCGCGAGAGAGCAGTATGCCCTTTTTGTCTTATCTTGTCTTTTTTTTTTGTAACTTACAAGGGACATCCTCCTCGCGACTTGTCTTTTCTATTGTTTTTTACGTAATTGACGTCATATCCGTAAGGCTCTCTACGGAATTAGGTGAATAATCGTTTGTAGATTTCTTTGACTGCAGCTTCCTTTTTACGAGCAACCGTCGTAACTCGAATAACTTTGACACTTTTACACCGTTCGTCGAAAGCGGAGAAGCTTAGCTTCAAATATGTACATAAAGGACAAGTCTACTTTCGATATAGGAATTTTTGATAGTTTTCTAAAACGAGATTAACCGGCAGGTTCAATAGCTCTAAGTCGAGATCGCTAGCGCCGAGAGTAAGTCGATTCACAAGTCGTCTATCAAAAGTTCCTTCGTGTGTAACGTCCGGGAAAACATATCCGCGGATAAATGTAGAATATAATGCATTGGATGCTTTCTCCAGCGAGATACATACGTGACACAGTGAAATTATTTCATCTTTGTTTAACAAGTTCCATACCGCCATGAGTCACTGTTGACCCATGCTGGACTTTCCATTTGATATATTTTTCACTTCTATATGAAGAAATGTAAAATAATTTCTCAAATATCATAAATGATTACACAATTATGATATATGACGAAAAATTGGGCCTTCTACTTTATAACAATTTTTTATAACTTTTTTAACTATTATGAAATATACTATTATTTTTTTAACAAATATAATAAACATAAAAATACCATGGGTCGTACAATGTGATTGAATCACTTTACATACATCGACGCAGCATAAATCATTAACATTGGCGAACAACAAGGATACAATGATTCATTGTTACATTATAGATCTGTTCTTTTTAACTTTTTAAAGTTCTTATACGGTGCTTCTTCCTTCTGTCCATGTTGGAGAGAAAAAGAGAAAAGATGAACCGTGCAAGAAGTCAACTAAAAAGACAGGCCTTATGTCACCTGCAAAACAACTTTGCTGGAAAGCACTCATTACATATTCGCGTGTATATACACGCGAATCATACATCGTATATTTATGCATGATGTATCATTACATACATTATTCGCGAATGCGTTTTCGTCTGACGTTTACCTCTACGTCGACAAATGTACGCGCGAACGAATTTTGCACGTGTTCCTCGTCGGTCTGGTGCGTGCGTATGCGTCGGGACACGGAATTATGCAATATGCAATTTTTACGTTTTGTTAATTAGCTGATTGACGGGCGTCCTCCCTCTCTATAGCTCCGCCGTTCGGGTCCATAACTCGCCGAGTGTGTCGTCTAGCCGTCGGATTTTCCGTTTGATCTTTCCGTTCGGTTCGGTAGCGAATTAATCGTCGAACTCGTAGTAGGGACTCCTGCAAAAAAGAAGCCGAAGAGAATTTTTCTGTGTATAATAATTATCGAGCGCGCTCTGTTGCTAATGTACGTTATGTAGATTACTTAGCGTCGTAAGAAATAGCACGTAAGGGAGTTAGGCTTTCTTTGTATATATATATAAAACACATATCTCGCGTAGAGGACGATGTGCTCGATCTTAAAAGGGATCTCGACGTAACGAGGGATCTGTGCAAAGACCCGGAAGGAAACTAGCATCGCTCGTGACGAGCTACATCTCGTAACGTGGAAGAGAGAGACGTGACTTTTCTGTTTTCTTTTTGTTGGAAAAGACGCATATAATAGTATAACGAGACATCAGCAGAAATATATGTGTATAAGTATGTGCGGAAAAAAAAAACAAAAACGAAATATACCGTAATACGCCGCTATCGTTGTACACCCATTAACTCATCTTTATCGTTGAGCTGAGTATCGTCGGGGAAAGAAGCGGTATTGAAACTTATAAATATATACATATATATTGTAAATGTATATTGTAAATGTATCTATGACAAATTAAAACGCAGTTTGTTACAAAATCGCGGGATCTGTACTGTGATAGCAGCTATCTCCCAATACGCGTTGAATTCCCCTCCCCTATATAGGGTGATTCATTTATCCTCTGCGCATAAAATGCTCGTTGAATAAGAAAAGTTTTTTTTATGTACATTGAAGCTTTCTTTCTCCTTATTATTACTTTACTCCGCCATTATTATTTTATTATTGTTTGTTATTGCTGACATTAGATTCTTATATATATTCAATATTTTCTGTATTTAAATGAATACTCGTTCATATTTCACAAAAAAAAAAACTGTATCAAATGCAATTAAAACAGAACAGATTTTTTTTCTTTATTACAATTTTCATGCCTTCTTTTTTTCTTACCTTGCCTCGTTAGATCTGTTTATGCTTGTTGTACTTTCCATGTCTCTCAATCATCAATTCGGATGTGTACGCGCTTGTTTGATTTCAAATGCGTGAGGTGCAGCTGAAATACATACAAATTCAATCGATAGCTGCAAAATCCAGTCGTGATGTAATAAGACTTGTATATATTTTCTTATTTCATGTTTTCTTACAACAAGGATCTAGAAACTTTACGACAAGTTCATATAATTCAGATTAAAGAATTTTCCAATTTCCAAAACTGCTTTTTCCGCTGAACGCAGTCTGTCCTACATGAGTTTACCATAAGATTCATTAGAGAAGATTAAATTTTATCCTTTTATTGTGCATTTCACGTCGTACTAATTGCATTCACGTTTTCAGTTTTCGTCATCGATTTAATCTGTATGCATACCTATACGAATCGCTCGAATTTATAAAGTTTTTAAGAATTCATATATAGAGGAAAGGCCCCTATTATGAGATACCTATTATGAGTTCATTTTGGATAAATACTAGAAGTCTATGGGTAGAATTTAAAAAAATAATAGGTCATTTGGAAGGGAATTTAATAAGCTGTAAGACAGTGTTATATAAAATTTAATTCAAATTTCATTTTTTTTTTAAATTAAAGAAATGTAAAAAATGAGCAAATCGCAAAGTCAAAGAATTGTGCTCCTAATATGAGATACCCCAAGAAATCGATAGTAAAATATAAAGTATGTCAGCAATTAAAAAAAACTTCATTTAATGTTTCTAAAATACAAACAAACATAGCCAGCATGCGCAAAAAATGAGCATGCAATAGATTATATCCAGAACTCGTCTTCAGGTAGTTGGAATCGAGCATCGCAGGAATAGCATTTGACGTTCATTTTGATTGTTCTTTTTATTATTGTACAATAACATTTATACTTTAGCAACGATTTTCACTGTGAACATGAATTATTTCATATTAGAAATACCCTGAATATCTCATATTACGATTTCCATGGTTTTACGATCATCAAATCTAACTTCTGCAATTTAGCAATTCAACATATCCCGTATTTTTCTATTAGTACGACCTTACTCTATCACTACATGAAGAATTTATTGCCAGATATTTATTTATTAAATAATAAACAAGGTTTAAAGGCTCATCTCAATGAAACTCGAAGACATCCAAATTCTAAAATCTTTTTTTACAATGACTACAGGTATGATTTAATAATAAACTTTCTACTAAATCGTTTTCAATCCAAGAGCAATAAATTTATGGTGGAACCATAAATAACGTTTATTAATTTAGCAGAAATTAATTTAGCCGCTAATCATATTAGGCACCTATCTTATAATAAGGGGCTTTCCCCTATAAAAGTTCATTTTGTAATTATTTCTTTTAAATTCTTCTTTTGGTATAAGATACCACGGACTCTTAAATTTTGATAATGATAAATAAATATTCTCGTGAAACGCGTGTGAGAAAAATTGTATATTATTCATACACGAGTATAACTTGACGTAGCGAACGAGGCATTAAATTATCGTCCAATCGTGTCTGCAAATTCCATTTGATGCTGACAGCGCTCTTGGAATTATTTCATCAAATTTAAACAAGAATAAAATGATGCTCATAAGCATTGTGAGCGCCAAGCCGTCAAATCGAACGCAGCTATCTACACGTGTCGTTCAAATAGAATACGAGAAAGTACACGACATGACGTACGGGCGAATCACTGGTCTGGTGTTATAACACAGCTGACGGTGGTGCAATCTGAAACCCTCGCTGTAAGCAAAAAAAAAACAACGAGAACGTGAATGGACACGCACGTTTAAAATGTTTGAATGTGCCGCAAACTGAGTGGAACGACGTACGGTGCGCGTCTCGTAAACGCGCGAGACGGAACGACGCTACAACGCCGGTGGCTCGCAATTCGCAACACGCAACTAGGAATATACGGTAGTACACGCATCGAGGATTGAGGAATCCTCTATTGCGTAACGGATCGACAGAGAAAGAGAGAAAGAGAGAGAGAGAAATAGAAAAAAGAAGAGTACACTCGTTAAAACACCAGACAGTCACTTTATCTGTGATTCACGCGATATCGAGTGTTCCTCGAGTGTGTGATACGCAGCTCAATACGATCACAGTAGAACGATTGGCTTATTGAATTCGTTCAAAGTACATGGGTTCGGCTGCGTCAGGTCTTAGTTGAACGTCACGCGAGATGTTGCATCACTCCGGAGCTCCGGTCTAATCCGCGAAAATCGCGTCCAAGATACGAGCAGGTACGAGTTTCATTCTCGTGGCAGGAATGATTATCCAACGACAAGCGTTGCACGTGTCTTGAATCTCTTACGTTAATTCTTCACGTTGTATTACATACAGTTCCTTAAGTACTTATCACTTTGATCAAACTTCAATTCAATCAGCTTGATAAATCAATGATAAATTCAACTCCATCATTTAGCTATAAACTGTGCTCTGAGCCAATTTCGCAAATTCATTGTCCTTGATTTTAAACTTCCTTTTCATGTGTCAACTAATTTAATCCATCCATGTTAACGAAATAATACAAATATTGCTTGATAAGAGTTAATAACTGATTAAGATAGATAGAACTGATGATCTGATCACTTTATCTATAAATTAATATTGATCAAGAAGATATGGAATATTAGTGTGAGAGTTGAGAGCAATTTCACATAAAGATATCTATTTTCTAATACTATTTAAAGCATTGTGCGATGTGCAATATTGTTTGCTCTTTTGTTATAGATTAATTACACAAGTAAAAAATATACTTCAAGTGACTATAAGTCTAAATCATGTTACAAAACGTGAATAGGGAACTAGCTCCTATAAAGTCACATTATTTTCTTTTTAATGCTGGTAAGTCCCAATTAAAACTCTTTCTAAAATCACTTTAACAACTGTTGTGAAAAACGTTTCTTGTATTCTGTACTAATTATATTTGTTTTACTTACAGCGACAGGGCCAATGGTACAATTTTTACCAACAATTGGAAAGCAATTGGGCTTCTCTGCAACAGTGGTCGGTACAATATATACAGTATTACCAATTTCTGGGCTAATTGCAAAGCCACTGTTCGGAGGTCTGGCTGACAAGTTTAAATTGCATAAAACCATCTTCTTGATATTCGAAGCTATTCTGGCAATAGCGTTTTTCTCTATTTATTTCATTCCTGGAATAGATAAGAATGCAAATGTTACTCTAATTTGCGATAAAGGTGTGTCATACTTAGAGATTTGTCCACAGATTGAATTCTCAAAGAAGGCGTTAAGCGCCGTAATATTAGAAAATATACACACTAACACAGTCTGCCAGGTGTGTATAAATATAATGTTTTACTCTATTATTCCTTTGTATCAAATAATTAATATATATGAATGTAATAATTTGTGTCCATAGTTATCTTGCAAAGGAGTATCTCATGGTTTCTTAGAATTGTCTGGCAAAAATATTTCTACGAACAGCACATTCGAGCTTGGTGCAGGACTTGAATATCAAGATTTACTTGTAAGAAATTTATTGTGGAATTTTTTTATCCGTCTGTCAGTTACAGGAGTAACTTGATATTGTGAAAAATAATTTGCAGACGAAGAACTGTGTGAATGTGAGACTACGTACGTTTCTCGATGACACTGCACATGTTCCAATATGTGGGGATCAGTTGAGAACTTCATGTACAGCAATTTGCCACAATAGTAGTGCGTTCAATCATCTTCTGCAAGAAGCTAAGGATTCGCAAAGTGATATGAAACATTCTACATATCAGTTTCATTTATTTCTATGGGCGGCTATCATCAGTTGGATTGGAATGGCTGTTGTAGTTAGCATAGCCGATGCCATCTGCTTCGATCTTCTTGGTTTGTATTATGTATTACACAGATAATATTGATAATTACGATTATTTCTACATGGTCTATGTTTCAGGTAATGAAAAAAGGAATGATTACGGAAAACAGAAAATGTGGGGAAGCCTTGGTTTCGGTATTTTTGGTATAAGTGCAGGTTACCTGATAGATCTTTCCAGCAAAGGACAATACGAAAAAGATTACACTAGTATATTTTATATTATGCTAGTGGCCATGTTCGCCGATATTTTGGTGTCTGCAACATTGAAAAAAGTACAAAAAGCTCTATGAGCTAAGAGCTAAGACTAAGCTAGAAATTTGATATTCTTTTTATCAAAAGAATCCAAAATTGGCAGGTAATGGGGCAGTATTGTTACAGAAAAATCCAGAATGCTCTGCGGACGAGCCGTCGCTATTTCGGGAGCTATTAAGCGTTATCAAAGAAGGAAGGGTATTGGTATTTGCTTGGTGGTGTATAGGCGCCGGGATGTGTACAGCAGTCATTTGGAACTTTCTGTTCTGGTACAGCGAAGATATAGCGGCCACTTCTCATATCACATGGAGTAAAACTTTGCAGGGTCTGATGACCGGTGTTCAATGTTTCCTAGGAGAATTACCCTTCAACTTTGTATCAGGCAGAGTACTGAAAAAACTTGGCCACGTTAACGTCATGAGTCTTGTGTTGCTTATCTATGCAATTAGGTGAAAAATAGATTGTTTATCTTACTGAGTGTATAATTTATTTAAATGTTACTAAAATACCGATTTAATCCCACAGATTTATGGCATATAGCATTATATCGAATGCCTGGCTGTTTTTAATTCTTGAATTGCTCCATGGACCTTCATTTGGTCTATGTTGGCCAACGATGGTGTCCTATGGTGATAAAGTGACACCATCCGGTACAAAAGCCACTATGCAAGGATTCATTGGTGCTGTTTTCGAAGGAATTGGTTAGTTTTTAGTTTGATATTTTGTATACAATCGTTTACGTATCTTTTAACTCGTTTCGACATAAATTTTTTATTCATTTTAGGAGTGGCAAGTGGTAGCTTCATATGTGGTTGGTTACTAGATTCTTACGGAGGTGTTGCAACATTGAGAACTTTTTCAGTAGGTGCTCTTTTGTGGCTAAGCGTCTTTTGGTTAATGGAACTTTTGTTGAGGAAGTTAAAAGCCTATCCGCTATATCGAGGCCATAATCGTGAGTATGTCGATATTGCATTGAAATTAAGATAGCGAGTTTTGTGATATCTTGTACTTTGCATGAATCTGCAGTTCAATTTGCACTTTAATGGCCATTTGTTTTTCTCTTACATATTTAACGAAAGTAATTAATAGTTTTATAATGCAATACTTCTACTGATTCTTTTTCAGATCTGGCGAATTATGCCAATCCAGATGATGCTATTCTTATGACAATAAGTCAAGAATTACAAACTTATTAGTTTAGGACAATTTTATAATATTATAATTTTATAATTTTATATTTTATCCATATATTTTCATTGATAAATCAATGAAAGAACTATCGCACGATTGAAATCAAGCAAAGTTGATTTTTCACTGCATTTGTACAAATGAAAGAAATAGTTGTCTTATCGTGATACTTTGTCTTTTTGTAATATTAAAAAAAAATCAGTATTATATATACCATACAAAAATGTAAATTATGTCACGTCATTATCACCGTAATATATACTTTTTTTAGAACTACGTAGTGCATTTCTTGTTAGATATATTTACCTTCGTGTTTTCACGGATAATAATCACATAATAGAATGTTATCGTTGGTATAAGACAGGTAAAATATGAAGGGTATTAATCAGGATACGTGCAGAAATTGAAATTGTCAAGCTGGTCAGCAAAATATCTCAACCATTTATTCACTGTAAATCCATTTTTTCCAAGAGCGGAGATATACCAACACTAACAAACATAGTATGCCTGTTCGATCGCAATCAGCCGATTAGTACAACTTCCTTACGAATCTCGTCTACTCTATCGATAAAAAGCTACAAATAACTTTCTTTCCATTCGTACTGCGATACTAAGTAATGATCGCAGCGCATTCGCAAATATAATCTTCAATAATAATCCCGTATACCGTCTGCCGGCGGTATATGAGAGACTCACATCGCAATAAACATTTCCGTGGCGTTAATCTTGTTTCGGCGTCGATGATCGTTGAGTGACGGAGCGTGACGGTGAGGTGGTTTGACTGCTACTCGGTATAGGTTCTATCATAGCTTGTAAATTTGGGATTTCACCCGTCGCGGTGTCGCAGCAATCGTTCATGATGATCCCGGCGCCCGGATGGATAAATGCGAGACTGCCCTCGCTGGACGAAGCTAAGCTGGTTGAGAGAGGAGGAGATCGTTCCTTAGGCGATGCTGAAGAAGCGGGATTACCTATGGGCGAAGCGTTGGAATACGTCGCGGTCTCCAGTTTACCATGAAGCTCAAGTATACGGCCTTCTTGAAGAAGAATGATCTCCACTTGTGCCCGATACTTGGATTCAACGGCCTCCAATTCAGACGCGTGTTGCTCCTTTGTCTCTTGCAGGAGCCGTTGCAGATTCACCAGTTGCGTCTCCTTACGCGCGTCCTTATTTTCTACTTCACTTAAGCGTGCTTTCAGGGCTTCCAAATGTGACGATCGTGATTCCAATTGTCGCCGAACATCTACAAAAGAATTTTGATAGTACATATAATTCCTTTTGCGCAGAGTATATCATTCTCAAACCTTCAAATACTTACTGTTTAACTCTTCTGTACACGATTTCTGAATCTGCGCTGTTTCTTGCTTGGTTGTCGGTGAGAAAGTACTTGCATTTTCTTCTAATCTTAATTGCGCCTGTAGGAAAAAAATACGGATTATATACGCGCTATTATATTCCTATAATATACAATAAATATTAATTCTTTCAACTTAAATTTTTATGAATCAAGTTTGTTAACATAATTTCTTAATTTGAAGAATGAGTTACCTCTCCTAAAAGCACAAACTTTTTCTGCATAGTATCTACAATATTTTCCAGTTCCTTGCCACGGTCCGCAGCCTTCAGTGCTGTCTTAAGCTGGTGTCCTGCATTGAAAAGTTCCGCCTCGACAGAACGAAGTTGTTGCTGTGATTCAATCGTCTTCTTTTGTTCGTTTTTTAATTCCAATTCTAGATTCTCTAGGCGATCTCTGAACGCATGGCTTTGTCGTTGTTCTTCGATGCACTATGTATGTAATAAGTGATTATTAGTCTCTTCCAATATTTTTTTCTTTTCTGTAAATATTTTTGAAAATAAAATAAATACTTTAGTTTGCCAATGATGCATAGCTTCTTTATATTGTTCCTCGGCCTGATGGGCTTCCCTCTTATTATGCTCCAATTGCGCTTTCAGTTCTTCCACTTCTCTTTCGATCATTTTTAAACGCTCAGTCTGTAAGACAAATAATATCAAATCCATCAACAGTCGCATAAAAATTTAATAAATATTATGTATAAAAATATAAACAGACCCTTAATTTACCGAGCAGACGTCGATTACGCTCAGCATGAACTTCCCGTCGCTGCCGTTCAAATTGCAGTTGCATTTGCATAAGTTGAAGTGACTGATTAGCACAAGTTGGATCTATACTATCGTCTTCTGTTACATCTTCTTCCGTATCCTCCTCTCCTTTCTTTTTTTGTTTCTGCCTGGTACCATTTGTTCCTAAAAGAAACTAGTATTTCACTTCACTTACCAGAGATAAGTGCTATTACATGTTACAGGTTACTTCATATTTACTCGTTTTACTAGAAAAGCTATTCGTTCTCGTGCAAGCCTCAATATATCGATCGAGCATGCTAATTGGCGACATTCTCGAATCTGAACTTTCTTGACTAAAGTTTTGATTGTTCTGATCTAACATTCCTAGCAGCAGATGCTCGTATGGAAATAAATCACATGTTTGACTGCCGGTATCCTCACGTCCCTTTGCTTGATCCGTCACGTCTTCGCTATAACATTTTCTCTGCATTTCCATGTCCGGACAAGATCTGGAGTGTCGAATCTGTGCATGTAAACATTTTTTTTCAGTCCTGCTACAATACAAAACATTACATGCAATAATCTTTGAAAATCTTCGAATTCTTTGATACTTCACTTTGTGCGTTACATTTGAATTTGAATCTTCAATTGGGAAATGGCATTGGGAGTACAGTCGAAGATAAATCTTTTGCGATAAATGAGATAGAGTGCCATACGTGTTTCTCTCGCTTCGTGTTTCAGATTGCGCTTCAACATACTTTGGCATTTCGACTGCTCCATTTCCGTGTGAACTGACAATCTCCAATACCTATGTTAAAATATTATTAAGTACCACATCATGTCTGTATTTATTCAATACAGGATTGCTCAGTAAATTGCTCAAACCTCTTGATCTTCTTGCCAAGAATCATTCTTCCCGTTTTGACTTATAGCCATTTCTAAGAGCCTTCCATTTTCTTCGCTATTACTCAATGATTTTTGCGATTGAAAAACATTTTGTCTGTCTACCATAATCTTACTTAGTCTATTCGAAAGAAATCCATGTGTATTTGCTGCAATGTCTGCACTTTTTATTCCGGAGTTTACGGAGGTCGGCGTTGATGGCCGAGAAGATGTGCCATTGCCCAACGCATTTAGAGCACGCACTGCGCTGGATCCCAGAGGCGCTTGTCTCGTTGATAATTTTCGTACATCCTGTATAAAAATAGTGTACATTTTCGACGTAGAAGAAGGCAATATTTTAATAACTTTTTGTATACCTTAACAGGAGTTGTTTCGGGGGTAGCTTCTATAGCAGCCTCGGGCGGGGAAGTACCACTTCTATTGTTATTAGGCGTCGGCGGAGCAGAGCGTGGCTCATGAGATGCGTTTTGTGCCGGGCTATGCGGTGGCACTGTCATGCTCGGTGACCAAAACGCATCATCTTCCCCATTACTAGTCTCTACGGTCGTTACTCCGCCACAAATGTTTATCGGTGCGCAAGTGATGGAAGATTGATCTGTAAATGCATAAACAAAGTCATCATTTTCTATCATTCTTCGGAAAAAAAAACATAGGTATGAAGATGATAATTAATAATGCTGACCAAGAGGTGGAGTGCACCGAGAGTTAACTACTCCTAAAATTTCCTCCCGACATTTGTCTAATGTAAAACGACCACATTCTATCACAATATCGTGATGTTCCATTTTTTTCCATCTGCGACGCAACAAAAAAGAAGCAACAATGATTTAGACAATACTGTATGACACAAAATATATTTAGTATATATGTATACCTAGTGGCTGAAATTTCTGCATCCTTAGATGCTGTAACAAGAGAAGGGTGCATACGCACAGAATCCAACATTGGTCTAATAGTATGAGTAAATGTAGCCAATTGATCACGTTGAACGTATTGTTGCTTCAGGTATGATATAAAATTGCAAGGATACATCGCGTACAGTCTATGAAATAAGCTGTATAATCCTACCTATAACCAATGGTAAGGTAAATAATTAACGTCACGACACTTGTAAAATGATCACAAATATTCACCTGCAAATGTATGAGGTACAAATGGTCCTTGTCGATGACATTTGGTACTGTGGTTGAAGTAAAGGGGGTAGAAGGAGAAAGTAAGGATTGATGATGATGATAATAAGAGGCCAAGCGGCCGAATACCTCAAATATTTCTGGTAAATATGGCCCTAGAGCAGCAGGTAACATTGGTAACAACATTACTAACAGAAGAAGGGCACTCATAAGTGGTAATATATCTGTCTCCACCTTAAAAAATATAATCTTGTAAAATAGTATGTATACACTTAATTTTTTCCAGTACTTAAAGTTATTTTCAAATCAAATATACATATATTCTAAATATAAAATTTTTAATTAACTCACATTAATAATCATATGAAAATTATGTATATATGCAGCATATAAATTATACGCATCTTAAGCAAATTCATATTTATGTTAAAAAAACATACAAAAATGCAGAATTCACAAATTAATTTTATAAGTTTCATGAGTCTACAATAAATGTATGTGTATAGATAAAAAAAAGAAACAATAAAGAAATATATTACCTTAAGTAATTTGAGTAGATCTCTGAATAAAGCATGACTGGCTAGCTTGTACAACCAAGTAGGCTGACGTCTGGCTATATGCCCAAGTAGTGTGAGTGCATGTAATCTCTGCCCACTATTGCCAGGTTTTGAAAGAATGTCTGACAAACGATCTAACAGATGTTTATCATGCGGATCTCGTACACCTGCTAATACTTCTGCTGTCCTCGAAGAATTTGTAGAAAGATAATAATCCAATAATCCATTTACCAGCCAATTGTCTTTTGCTGTAAATGAGGTCCAATGTAAATTAAAAACATAATCATATTATATATATATATATATCGTTAATATTACAAATGCATGTGTATTACTCACTGCATAAGAAATGATCATGGAATACTTTTTTGGTCTCTTCGACCTCCCCAAGTTTATTCGATTCCAGTAAGTAAAACAGATCGGCGACGCCTGCAGGACCGACACTCATCTTGACTTGCGGTTTGACTCAAAAGATTCCTACTCTCTCATGGTCCTTCCATCAGGCGGTGGAAGCAGAAATCGGGTAGG